CAGAAGGAAGAGGGTGTAAGAGAACACACACACATCTGCTTACTGGGGCAAAATAATCACAGGGAGGATAAAGCAGAAATGAAAGAGATTGGAATGGAATGTGAATGGCACCAATGAGCCCAGCTATATTACAAATGAACAACACAGCCCCACAGAAGGAGATGAGAAGGAAAAGATCCAGCCTGAGTCGCTTTGGAAACTGTCTCTTGACTAAGGCTAAAGACGATGAGCACTTCTGAAACAGCTCACACTAGGAACGAATAAGTACGGGAACACTGAACATGAAAGCCGAGTTTCTCGATGTCAGAAAAAGAAGGTAAAAGTAAGAAGAGGGGAGAAGGACCGAAAGAATCCTGGTGATTTACTGCAATCAGAGGTATCAGTATGAATCGTGTTTGCGATAGATGGATGGACAGAGAGATAGATGGAAGGACAGAAAGATGTGGGTGCGCACGCGGATACACAGGTTGGTGTGCCTACGTCCACTTCCTAGTTCTGTCTACACACTGGGCTTCGGAGCCAGCAGTCCAACTAGCACTGAGGCCAGTGAAGTACAGGGCTCGGCAATGTCCCCTAAACCCCTTAGCTCAGCTCAAAAATGTTCTCCGTTTGGCTGACACACAGCCAGCCAGACCCGAGGGTGAAATGCTCAGATTGGATCTTCTAACAAAACCTTTAACTTCCCGGTGAGTTTCACCTGCAGGAAAGGAAATGAAAGGGAATACGAATCTTAAGGCAGTTCTCCTCAATTATAAATAGCTTTAGTACACCTCCCAAAGACTTATTTACAAGAAATTTAAGTTGTATTCTCTTTCTTAATGACCGTGGCAAACTCCTCTGGGCATTCGAGGAGGTCTACGCTTCTGTCCCACCCTGCCTCGAGCATAACGCAAGACACATTTTGTCTGAAAGCTTATGTGGAAAGTCATAAACATCGGCAGGCAGGTCCTCCTTTTGTCCCGGAACCTGCTGACCACAAAATGTTCCATCAGGGCTTAGAAACATGTTATGAAGTCACAGGGACGAGTATTGACAAATGCCTCATGCCCCGACAAGCCATCATCCCCCGTTCAATCTCCCAACCCAGGGCCGTGCCATCAATCTTTTTCTTTCCATTAACAGGTGGCAAAGTGGCTGTCCACATCCTGCATGAGAGATGAAGTTGTACTGGCGACAGCATTTTCTGAGATGGCTTCCGGTCCCCCACTGCACGACGCCGGTCCTCAGAGGAGAGCATGATGGAGCCGCGGTGAGGCCCAGCTTCGAGCAGGCTCTGTCCCTGCCCTCGTGATGAGCCACCAGCTGGGAAATGGGCAAACGCATACTAACCCACGCATCCAAGCACACGCACATCCGTCTATCCATCTACCATCCATCACAAACGAGACTCCCCTGGAAACCTGTGTTTTAAGTAAGTTCAGAGTTTCCAAAAGAGATCGAGATCCCGTGTCCCGTGGTGGGAATGCTGCACACATTAACCACTCACCGCGGGGAGGACACGAGGCTTGTTCCCGGCTTGGGGGTTACAGCCCATGACGCTGCGACAAATACCCACGTGCAGGTCTTGGCGGGGACGTGAGTGTGCATCTGTGACAAATGCCTGGGAAGGCAGTGAGCTGGCTTGCCTGGCAAGTGGGTTTGAATTTTTAAGGAACTGCCAGCTTTTTCCAGACTGGTTGTACCATTTCCCATTCCCACCAGCGATGCAGGAGAGATCCCGTTTCTGCACCTCCTCACCAACATTTGGCACCGCGCGGGTGTCTACAAAGTCTATATTTAAGTCAGTGAGCTGGTCACAGAAATTAATTCAGGAGGACACCTCCGTGGCTCAGGTCATGATCTCAGGGTCCTGGGATCGAGCCCCGCATCCGGCTCTCTGCTCAGCGGGGAGCCTGCTTCCCACTCTCTCTCTGCCTGCCTCTCTGCCTACTTGTGATCTCTGTATGTCAAATAAATAAAATCTTAAAAAACAAACAAAAAAAAAGAAATTAATTCAGGGATGGCCAGGGGACCCAGAGGGAAGGGAGACTTGCTCTGGGGAGGAACCTTTACACTCAAGCAAGCTGAGCCACCAAGGACTCGGCAGGTGCCTGAGTCGTCCACTTAACCCTGCAGCAGAGGGTAGAGAACCCGCCGGGAAGGCGCCGCCGGCTCACCTGCTGTAGAGTTGACAGGAGGCTTCCCCAGGGCCAGCGGGTCCCCTGTGCCGCCATCTTGAATACGGGACATTGGTCTTCCTTGGCTTCCCATTGGATCAATGTCATGTGACCACCCTTAGCTGCAAGGATGGCTGGGAACTATATTTTCCTTTAAGCAGGGCACACTGCTCTGCCAACGATATGTGGGTGCCGTCAGGGAAGAGAGGTGGGTATTTACCGACTTAGAGTCGGTCCCATGAGCAAACAGCGTTACAAGGAAATAATCACCAAAAGAAATAAAAAAAACAAAACCGATAAAGAATTTAAAATGGCTCCCCCTTTGGAGCAAGGCTAGACATAGAAATGCACAAGGACAATTTCGTTTTTCACGATATGCCTTTCTGGATGATGAATGTTTGGTTCTTAATAAATCACATATCGTTCCAGGAGCTGAGAGAACTTAGCAATACTTCCATTCCTCGTGCGTTCCTTACCAGCTCCCGTGTGCTAATTGCACTGGGCATGATTTGCTGCAATTCTGCAAGTGCTTTCTCTGATCTGGCCTCCTAGTTGACTTAAAATGGAATCTCCCAAAAGGTGTTTCTCTTTTTTCTATACAGTCTCCTTGAACAAGAATAGCTATTTGCATTTTTGAGTGGGAGGGGAGGATAGGACAGTTATAAAGAAAGAATTTTCTAAAACAAGGATGGTTTTACACGTTAAGTGTTCACCCAGTTGTGCAGTGTCTCTTTCGAGTAGGAGATACGAGATTTGTTTTTCCCCTGACCTTGGCAACTTAGGTTTTTTTTTTGTTTTTGTTGTTTTTTTTAACAAGGTATATGGAGAAGCCTGCTTAACAGAGGATAAATTATGCAGACACGATAAGCTCCACTTTGTCTGAACAGCTTGTTAAAAGCCATCCTTCTCATATGATATGGGGCTCAATTTCTAAAGTCTGCGAGTATGGCATCAAAAGTACTCCTGAAAAGTATCTTAAATCTCCCATAAAGGACAAAATAGCTCCATCTCTTAATAAATCCAGCATAACCAGTTTTTTCTTGAGTGTTGTGCCAGATTGCTGTTTCTTTGGCCCATCTCTAGATGAACTTCAGTTTAGGCAATGTTTCTATAAAATAAAAAACATAAAGACCTACACAATCACAAACAAGTGAGACACAGAGTCTGAATCCTGTATCTAATCCTAAAGACTAGACTGATAGTCAAAGCCAACAGAGAAGGAGAGAGATGGGAGAGTCACTCTGTGCTTAATCCAGGCACACACATGTACTCAAATGAAACAGACAAGAAAGATAACCCTCTACAGGCCCTCACACATCTGCATATGTGGGGCCTTGTTTTTCTGGAGTGTGTAGAGAGGGGCCCCATTACAAACTTTAGGAAACACTACTGGAGACAAAAGAGTGTATTGAGCTGTCAGGAAAACTGATAAGGGTGGATTTCTCTGGAATTCCAGGCTGTGCATGCACGTTTCTAAGAAGCGAATGCAACTTTTCAATATCGGTTGGCAGAGCATCCATGTGTCCTACCAAAGTGCTCCAAGCCCAGCTTAAACAGTTTCAGGAAGAAGAGAATCCACGAAGGTGAATTTGGCTTTTGACCACCAATGGGTCCAGAGGCCGGGGTGGAACTGGTGGCCCCACAGGAAAGACGCAGAGATGTGTGCGACCTGTAGGCAGTTTAATCCATAAGGTCCGGCAGACCCTCACCCCTGCGTAGCGTCAAGAAAGAGGTATTCTCTCATTTTGTCCTCCCTGACCCACACGCCAGGACCCTGGCATCAGCTGTGGACACAGGCACTGCCCCGGAAAGCTGAGGCCTCACTGCCCGCTGCCCACCCCCGGGGTGGGGTGGGGGGGGGGCGGAGCCAACACCGCTTGCAGCCCGCTGCTCCTGGGGCTCTGGAACCACCTCTCCCACCCCTCCCATCGTGTCAGTGCAGTGACCCCAGCCCCCCTGCACAGAATAAAAATAGCAAGAGTCATAAGGCCAGCTGGCCTCTGGAACACTCCGGGCGCTGTGCTTTGTGCCCAACGTGCCCATTAAGTCCCCTCAACTCCAAAATGTTCATTCTCGCCGTGCAGGGGGACCGAGGGGATGGCCTCAGGTATGGGACTTCTAGGAAAACCTGTCCTACAAGATAGGCTCACACCTGCTTGCCCAGACACCAGCGTCTTTGAGCCCTACAATCTCTATTGCAACCCCCCAAATTACATCAGACTGAATCTGGGGTGTGTGTGGGGGGGGTCCCAGATTTCTGCCAAGCGGGAGTTTCTATTAGCTGCCTAGCGAGCGAGCCTTCTTACGTGATCCAAGATCTGCTCTAGGACCTGGCTTGGAAGGAACAGGTGCAAAAAGCCAGGCCCTCCACCAGGACTCCCAGTCCCAATTAAACAAGCTGAGGGTATGGATGGGGGGCCAGGATGTGAGCCCGTGTTTGTAAATAAGGGTTCACATAACCTGCCCCACTTCCTGGATCCTAAATGCCACAGTGTGTTCAGTGTGGAGTGGGAGTAGACCCCATGGAAACCCGCTGTGGGGGACACTAAACGCTTCCCCTCAGCCATGCTCCCTCTTCGCTCCTGGGAGCTGAGCCTAGTCTGGTTCCAGGTGCTCCACATGGTTCCCGGCAAGGGTGCTGAAGATCCTGGAACGGACAAATTTGTCCCAGTCCCCTATGTGGCTGCCCACGGGTCTTCCCATCCAGGAAATGGTCCGCCCTGAGCTCCGCAGAGGCACTTCTGGTGGAAACAGCGCCCCCGCCAGATTTCCCCAACAAACCCCAAGTTCAAGCTGCCGCGCCCGCTGGAGAGTCCGCGCGACAGACGCCCACTCCGGCCTTACCTGTGCCCGGCCGCGCGCCAGCACCGGGCTCAGCGCCCCACACCTCCCCGCAGAGTGTGAGCCCTGCGGCCCCGGGTTCACAGCGCCCGCCCTGTACCTGCGGGGGTCCTCACTCCCGGGTTCACAGCGCCCGCCCTGTACCTGCGGGGGGTCCTCACTCCCGGGTTCACAGCGCCCGCCCTGTACCTGCGGGGGGTCCTCACTCCGGCTGCTCCGGCTCTGCAGGCTGCAGGCGCTTGGATCCCCGCAACTTTCCTCCAGCCCCTCGGGCCGCCCAGCTTCCCGACCCAGCTCCGCCTACCTTCGCCCCGCCCCCTGCCCCGCCCCCTGCCCCCGCCCAGATCCCAGCCCCTGCCCCGCCCACCTGCTCCCCGGCTCCGCCCGTTCCCAAATCCTACCCCGCCCACCTGCGCCCCGCCCCCTGCCCCGCCCAGGTCCCGGCCCCGGCCCCGGCCCCGCCCACCTGCTCCCGGGGCCCCGGCTCCGCCCTGGTCCCAGATCCCTCCCCGCCCACCTGTGCCCAGTCCCAGCCCAGCCCCACGCGAGGTGAAAGTGGAGAAGCAAAGCCCTCCAGCCAGGGTTATTCCTCTAGACTAGGATTATTCCTGGGGCTGCACGAGAAAAAGAGGGAACGGATGCTGGGCGGCTCCACCAGACCCCACAGGAATTGGTTACTTTACCCCTAATTTGTACTTACCCTCTTGGGCCTTAGCTCTCTGCCGCATAGCCCTGGAAGGTTCGAACCCGGTTCTCAGGCTTTTGAGTGGAGGGCGGCAGGCGCTCTCTCTGAGCTCTGCGGCTGTGTGTGTGTGTGTGTGTGTGCACGCGTGTGTAAGCACACAACAATTTGGTGAGGCAACACCTGCGCTTGGAAACCGCGGTTTCCTGGGCAAGGGCAAGGGGACAGGACGGATGACATGGGAGAAAAAGTAATTCCACTTGAGGGCCAGGAGGAGTAGAATGCGGCTAAGAAAACATCCCAACCCAAAAGGTGATCTGTAAAATAGTGATTCTTGGAGTTTTCGGCGACAGTAGAGAATTATTTTCTTGAACGAGTGATGCTAAATTCCCCTGTTGTCTACTTCAGGGGCTGCCTCAGACAGAACCCAGGGGAGAAGTAGGGGGGTGGAGGGCCTGACTGTGGCCTCCTGTAGGGACTGGGATCTTGTTTTTGAGGCCCAATGGGCTGGAGGATATTTTTGTTTTCATCTTAGGAAATATTTTTGGCCTCTCCAGATCAGTGAAAAATAAAATAGATCCCAATGTTCCTGACTGAGGTATGGGGGCTTGCTTTACTCTTCCTCCCTGACCTGCTGCCCATCTGGAGGTTTATGATTTGTGGTTCCCACACGCATGATTTCTTTCCTCTCCACAGAGAATATCAGCCTCCCCGTTGGAGAGCCAAATGCAGATCCCAGATCAACTACGACCAGGGGAGTAATCTGGGAGGTCTCTCCCAGGGAGTGACTGACTCAGAGAAGCCTCCTCTGGCCTCTTCTCGCTGCGCCCACCCCCACTCCCTCACCCTGTCCCCCAGCCTATCTATCCCTTAGGAGCTGGCTTTACATCTATTAATCCATTTTGCTCTTTGGGATCGCTCTTTTTTTAATTATCCCTTTTAAAAGGTTAGGGAATTTAGATACAGACAACGGAACCCCTATTTACGGAGCATTTACTTGACTAGCCCATCATCCTGTTTATTTGGCTCCTTGCATATAATCTGTCTTCAATACCTCTACCTGTCTTTCCTCCCATCCAAAATGTAAGCCCACCACTGACGGCTTTGTATGTCCTACCCCTCCCCCGCCCCAGAATTCTCAACAACTCCGTGTGTACTGCAAGTAAACAATTGTCAAATGGATGAATCTTGTGTATTTACATAGTATTGTGGCCCGTTTTACCAATGAGGGAATCCAGATTGAGAAACGCCAAGTGAAATCACCCAATGGGAATTTTTACCGAGCATCTGTTTCAAGTTCAACACTATTCTGAACATAATATTTGGGTGAAGTCGGTCTTTGCAGACACTTGTGTGCATGTGCTCTCATGATACCCGTTTTATGCACAAGGAACTAAGATGTAAGGAGGTTCCATAAGTTGCCCAAGGTCACAGTGGTTGGTTGCATGTGGTGGAGCTGGGATTCAGAGACAGTCTTCCTTCACAGCCCGCATCTGCAGTCCCTTCACTGGAATCATTTGCACGAAGAAGTGCCTAGAAACCACACCCGTCATTTGCAACAGGCATCTTGATGACCTGTGTTGACTCTCCCTTTCAAGGTCACCCCTCTGTGTCAGGTCTTGTCAGCTAGGTTTTTCTACCTTGAAGGAAAGGAGAAACGTTGATTTATCACTCCTACTGAGCAGTGCAGGAAAGCAATCCAAAGCAATTTCTTCTCAGGGCTTGACGCCCAACTTGAAGTCAGCCTCTGCAGACATTACTGTCCACACAAGGGACGCTTACCCGGCTTCCCTGAATGAGACTTGGGCAGCTTTGTCTGCGCCATCAACTGTTATGATTGACACGCAAATGCCCAGCCTTGTGCCTTAGCCTGGTCTGTCTGGGAGCCCATCTGCTTGAAGCACAGGGTCTGGACAGGAACAGAGCATGAACTGTCCCCCCGACAACCTTCCGCTCTGGGTTCAAGCCAAGCCCCCCAGACTCCTGAACATACAAAAGCGTGCCATCGTAAATGTGTGTTGCTTCGAGCACCTGGGTTTGTAGCCGTGTGTGTGGCAAACCTGGAAGACAAAAACCCCCTTGTCGCCACGTGCTGGCTTATTACCCAGGACAGGCTAGGTCATGCTGTGACGAGAAACAACCTGATCATCTCCGTAATGTACCAGAACAAAGCTTCCCACTCTGGCTTCATGTCCACTGCGTGTTAGCTGAGCACTGTGCCCCATTCATTGTCTTTCTCTCCAGAACCCAGGAGATGGAGCGGAGAACGTGGCAGAGCATGCCCTGGTTAGAGCTCCCCCGCCACCATGATACGCAACACCACCCCCACTCACGTTCCTTTGACCAACAAAATCATATGACCACGCCAGCATTTAAAAGGATCACCGATGTGCAATGCCTCCCTGTCTTGAGAGGAGAGAGAGTCACAACCCCCGACTGTCTGTATCACCTGGAGGTGGAGGAAGAGTTAGGGGGCGGTCAGGGGCACACAGCCTTGGGTGTCCATCCCCGGTGCTGTTCCAGACTCACTAAGTGAGGATGTTTTGTTCTGTTTTTCGGTGTTGCCGTGTGTTATTTTCCTTACATCGGACGGACATAGAATACACGAATCTTATTAATTGCACTCTGTATGCATTTGCTGCTGAGCGAGCACGAGGAGGGAGAAAAGTGCAAGGAGATTGTGCTGTCCAGTTGTCACTATCCTCTCTGTGCCGCTGGCGGGATCGCGGAGGCTGGGGAGAAGTGCAGGTACCCTCCTGGATAAAGTGTCCGGGGCTGAGTTTTTAAGTAACACAGCAGCCAGCTGTGATGCCTTGGGGAGCCGGTGTCCTGGGCTTGGGAGCACGCGCATCGAGGATGACGGTGACTTCTCGTAGAATCGACCTTTTGTCATAATGTCCCTCGTCCTCTCGATAACTGAAGTCTACTTAGCCTGATATTCACCGATACTCGAGGTTTCTTTTGCTTAGTGTGGACCTCCTGATGCACCCTTATTATTATTTTTTAAACTTTGGTCCCAATACGGCTTTCTGTGTGTCATGGGCTGGAGGCAGAAGTGAGTGACCTCACTTTCCCTGATCCCTTAAGATTCGTATCGTACCTTCCAGACCCTCCAGCTTCCCTGTGTGTCTCAAGAGCAGCCATTCTGTTCTATCTTAGGACTACACACACCTAGATTAGCCTTCTCCTTGCGCACCTGCTCAGAGTGGACCAAGCTCCTTGAACTTGAGCTAGGTCTGATGACACTGTTGATAGATGGGATGGCAGGACCAGAAGATAGAGGGAACATGGCTTTCATTACTATCACCGAGCTACATGATGTATTAACCTTGGAGATGCTCCCTTGTTATTTGAGATACTACACGTTATCATTAAACCATGTCTGTGATTGAACCAAATCCACAGGCTCAGGACCATTTAGGCTCAGCCCAGCTCTGCTGCTCCCTGGTCCCGTGACTTGGAGCAGGTCACTCATCCACATGGGCTCTCCTTCTCTTGTATCTGTAAAATGACTGTCTAGCCCCAGACAATCTCGAAGCCCCTTCCGGGTTCTAAAATTTTAATCTCTTCTAGTTTAATTCACTTGGACTTCAGGACTAAAGCGTTGGATTTTCCTGGTAGCAGGCCTAATTTGGAGGGAACCAAGGGACACGCAGGAGCCAGCTGGCCTGCACCGGGGTCTTTAAACAAGATGCCTCACTGATTCCATTAGACTAAGCCCACCAGATGCTCTCACGTGCCCCATTTTACAGACATTACCATCGAGGCCCAGAGAGGTCTAGTCACTTGCCTGATTGCACACAGCAGGACGCTGACAGGGCAAGACTTAGAACCCAGCTCCGTCTGAATTCTAATACCTGTGGTTGTTTCTGCTTCCCGAATCTCTGGGAGAGAAGGAGAGGGGTCACCTTTCTTGAAGACCTTAGTGAGAGCTGGTTTTTTACACTAGAGTTATTTGTAAGATTTTTGCACACTCAGACAATATCATAAAATCAAGATGTTTGCAATGACAGAGAATTAAAGGAGCAGAGCCTTGGACACCCGGCAGGTTCCTAGTCCCAATGTCAAATGTACACTCTTGCAGGTAGACCGAGTCATTACGAGAAACTCAGCCTGTCCACACAGCGTCCCCTTCCCTCGTCTTCAGAGGCTGGACTCGAGATAATAATTCTCATCAGCACTAAGTTCAATCGGGTCGTTCAGCTGTCTCATCAATATTGCCAGAAGGAAAAGTCATAAGCTGGAGGTGGTGGAGAGGGGACTCGGGACTCGATTGATTTAAGCTGTTGAAGAATTTATACTGTGCCGGTGCCTTTGTAAGCGTCATCCATTGTGTTTGTTTTTCTGCATAATAAGAAGAGGTGTAGGGCTTGGACAGAAGACTCTGAGTAATTTTAACCACGTGTTTGAACTCCTACGTCATCGGTTCAACTGTATTTCTTCAGTTCACAGGAACATTTGCCTAAACCTTGTCAGGAGCATGAACTGGATCCTGGCAGAAATCAGGATGTCCACAGGGATGACTGATACGGTGGCAGCAGTGGTGTGACTCGTTCCT